CTTCATTTTGCTCCTTCATTCTCTGCCCCTTCCCTCTTTTATTCTGCCCCTTCTTTCTTTTATTCTGCCCCTTCCCTATTTTATTCTGCCCCTTCATTCTCTGCCCCTTCCCTCTTTTATTCTGTCCCTTCATTCTCTGCCCCTTACCTCTTTTATTCTGCCCCTTCATTCTCTGCCCTTACCTCTTTTATTCTGCCCCTTTATTCTCTGCCTCCAGGGAGAAGAAACCAAATCCCGCGATATCGACGTCCAAGAGATCACCAGAACGCAGATTGAGGACGAGCAGTGATTGCACTGCGTTCTCGTGATTTCTTGGCCCCCAGTGAATACCGCGCACCACTCAGAAAGATCAAAGATCCAGGGATCCTGAGCAGAGCTCAGGGATTCACTGGGGGCCACAACAGATAGATTAGCCAAATTACCTGTGGGGCCGTATTAAACCGGAATGCAGGCAGCAATTGGCCCGCGGGCCGGACTTTGGACATGACTGGATTAGGGGGTATGGTATTGGTTGGATAATGGTTAGGATTAGGGGTTAGATTAGGAGTAGAATTTTAGTTTGAAAATATTAGGGATTATTAGGGCAATTGGTATACATATACATGTGGAGTATCATTGTACTCTAGAATAGTAGCAGAGTATATATATATACATTTATTAGTGGTATTTATAAAGCGCCAACAGATTCCGCAGCGCTGTACAATTAGTGGAGTGCGTACAATATACACAGACAAATACAAAAGGTAGAGAGGACCCTTCCTGTAAGCTGATATCTAGCCATTGAAGCTCTTTTATACAAAGTGCTTAGCTAGATTGCCCATAGAGTAGAAATGTAGATTCTCAGTTGCTGGGATGGATGGAAAATTGAGCCTGAGGAAGAAGATGGATGCACAGTTATATAAAGGAATTTACACAGCTAGAAGTGGCAAGCAAGGGGGGGAACAGGAGGGGAGGAGTGGTGGAACAGACTAGCCATTTGTTGCACTTATTAAACTATTTGCCTATTAAATCCCATCAACTAGATTATTAATTACTACAGGTAACTGCAAGTACAAATATTACAGTAGTAAAGTAGAAGTAAAAATAGTAACATTGTAAAATTTAATTAATATGTAGTAAAAAGGTGGAAGAAATCCAGTGAGGCATCTTCTGAATCTTGATCGAAACTCCTTTGCGGTTCCCACATCCTGTGCTGGGAATTGTGGGAACCGCAGGGAGCATGATAGAGAGACATGCTCCTCCTCCTTCAGCGTTAGTGAGAGGAATGCCGCCGGACCGGCAAGGCTGCCACCCGGTCCGGCGGCTCCAGCATGAAACGCGTCCGGCCCCCTCAGACTTGAGAAAGAGGGGGTAATAGAGAGATGGGGAGGGGGGAGAAAGAGGGGAAACGAGATGGGGAGGGGAGGAAAAGAGGGGGGAATAGAGAGATGGGGAGGGGAGAAAGAGGGGGGAATAGAGAGATGGGGAGGGGGGAGAAAGAGGGGGAACACAGGAGAGATGGGAGGGGGGAGAAAGAGGGGAACAGAGAGATGGGAGGGAAAAGAGGGGAGAAAGAGGGGAAACAGAGAGATGGGAAGGAGAAAGAGGGGGGAACAGGAGAGATGAAGGGGAGAAAGAGCTGAACAGAGAGATGGGAAGGGGAGAAAGAGGGGGGGAATAGAGAGATGGGGAGGGGGAGAGAGGGGGAAGAGAGATGGGGAGGGGGGAGAGAAAGAGGGGAGAAAGAGGGGAAACAGAGATGGGGAAGGGGGGAGAAAGAGGGGAACAGAGAGAGATGGGGAAGGAGGAGAAAGAGTGGGGAACAGAGAGATGGAGAAGGGGAGAAAGAGGGGGGAAGAGAGAGACAGGAGGGGGGGAGAAAGAGGGGGAATAGAGAGATGGGGAGGGGGAGAAAGAGACAGAGAGGGAAGAATGAGACACAGGGGGAATAGAGAGATGGGGAGGGGGGAGACAGAGAGGGAAGAATGAGACACGGGGAGAAAGAGGGGGAATAGAGAGATGGGGAGGGGGAGAAAGACAGAGAGGGAAGAATGAGACACGGGGGAGAAAGAGAGGGAATAGAGAGATGGGAGGGGGAGAAAGAGACAGTGAGGGAAGAATGAGACACAGGGGGAGAAAGAGGGGGAATAGAGAGTTGCGGGAGGGGGGAGAAAGAGAGGGAAGAATGAGACACGGGGAGAAAGAGATGGGGAGGGGGGAGAAAGAGACAAAGAGGAAGAGAGATGTGGGGGAGAGAGAGACAGGCAAAGGGGGGAGAAAACCGTGGAAGAGAGGGAGAAAGAGGCAGAGGGGTAAGAGAGACTGGGAAGGAGGGGGGAGAAAGAAACATACAGAGGGACGGGGGGGAGACAAAAAGGCACACAGAAGGGCTGTATATATCACTGGTGGATCCAGGGGGCAACGGGGCAATTGCCCCCCTCCCCTGTCCGCAGGCACCGTGCGGGCAGGAGAGGAAGGAAGAGAGGACCTGGGAGCTCACCCTGCAGCTCCTCTGGGTCCTTCTTGCACGAGCACAGAGCGTTGCCGCGATTACCATGGCAACGTTACCGCTCTTGCGAGAGTCAACTCTAGCCCTGGAGCTACCGTCTAGAGTTCACTCTCAACCCTGTGACCCCCAGGGATTCCTGGTGGTCGCAGTGGTGAGAGTGAACTCTAGCCCCATAAAACCACTGCCCCCCCCACACACACCATACACATTCACACACTGCCTCCATACACACACACTGCCCCCACATACACCATACACATTTACATACATTGCCTCACACACACACATACACTGCCCACCCATATACACACAGACCCCCATACACAGCCCCCCATACTAACATTGCCACACACATACACAGCCCCCTCATACACACATTGCCCACACACCCTACACATTCACACACTACACCCCCACACACACACTGAACCTTTCACACACATTGCACCACTGCTCCTATTCCCTACTACAGCCCCATATCCCAGCAGATCCCCAGGTAAGTTGTCAAACTGTTCTTAAATGGTTTGACTACTTACTCTGGAGCAGTAGTGGTTATTGTGCATGGATTATTTCTTTAAATAATCTACAAGTGCCCCAGTAGCCAGCCAGCCAACCCACAGGCTGGCCAGTAGCCAGCCAGTTAGCCAGCCCACAGGCTTAGTAGCCAGCCAGTTAGCCAGCCCACAGGCCAGTAGCCAGCCCACAGGCCTACAGCAAGCCACAGGCTTACAGCCAGCAAGCCGCAGCCTGCCAGCCGCAGTCAGCAAGCCCACAGCCTGCCGGCAGTAGCCAGCAAGCCCACAGCCTGCCGGCCGCAGCCAGCAAGCCCACAGACTGCCAGCCAGCAACAGTAATTAAGGTAAGAGGAGCCAACTTGGCCTAGGTATCAGCGAGCTATGTTGTGTTACTATATTGTGAATAGGAACCAGAGTGTAGTCTCTAATGGGTCCTGGAGGAGATTCTTTCTAACACACTCTCTAAAGGACACTGAGATAGCCTCTGCTAGAAATCCCCTCCATGGCCCATTAGCCCTCAATTGTAGTTTCTACTGGGGCCTGGAGGCGACTGTTTCCAGCAGGGGCTATCTAATGGACGCTGAGATGGCCTCTGTTAGAAAGACCCCCTTCCAAGCCTATTAGACTCCATTGTAGTCTCTAATGGGGCTTGGAGGGGATTCTTTCTAACACCCTCTCTAAAGGACACTGAGATAGCCTCTGATAGAAAGACCCCCCTCCATGGTCCATTAGCCCTCAATTGTAGTCTCTACTGGGGCCTCGAAGGGATTATTGCACTTTTGTTCCTTGTGTCTAAAGATTGTGTAGGGTGTGGCTGGAGGCGGTGCATGGAGGCGGTGCATGGAGGCGGGACAAGGGTGGCGCTTGCTGCAGAGTATGGGTGGGGCCTGTAAGGGGGCCCTTGATTTATTTTGCCCGGGGGCCCTGAGGGTTCTCAGTCCGCCCCTGTCTGTGACTACTATTAAAGTTGAAATCTCTGCATGACAAATTTAGCTAAATTTTAGCTTTAAAACTGTAATTCACTTTGTGCATTATTTGTTTATAACTTCTAAAAATGAATTGAAATCCTAGACATATTGGGCATTTTAACAGTCAGGGCTAATCAGTGAATCTATTGTGATTAGTTTTCTTTATTTGCCCTTGGTGTGTAGAAATTATTAAATGTAAAACTGAGAAACAATTTGTTTTATATTTTATTCCTATGTAGTACTGTGTTGTGTAAATTGGGCATCAAAAGAAAGCCTGTTTCTTCTTTAAAAAATTATATATAATATGTATGGTGCACTTAAACAGAAAGGGGGGAATTGTGATAGAATAAATGTATGGTAAAATTGCCAAAAAAAAAAGGCCTTGGTCGCAAATACATTGCATCTCAAAAATAGCCTTGGTCCTTAGGTGGTTAAGGCTGCAGTTGACAATGTTCTTTGCGTAATGTACACTCCTCTCATCCAGCTGTGATCGGATCAGAACAAGACATTTAGTAGCAGCTCTGTTATAGGTCAGAGAACACATACTGTGGTACAAAATGCCACGTGATTCTAGAACGCAGCGATTGTGAATTCCGGGTAAGTAGGTCAGATGTGACCCTGTTTTTATCATGTTATTAATCCTTGTGGGAAGACAAAATACGAAGAAAATACATAACCTCAGCAGCTTTTAAGCAGGCCTAGAGAATTCAATCTCCCTCTCTGCAAGGATGCATTAAAAATCAAAAAACAACTTTTAGCCCTTACACTGGGATAGGGCAAGCAATGTACTCCATGCTCCCGTGGGACTCAGTGTAAAATATATAGTATAAAAATGTTTTGTTTTTTTTTAAATTAATTTTATTTTTTTAAAGGGGTGAAGTATGATAATTTTAAAAAACATAATTGTTTTATCGTTCTGTTTTGAATAATGCTAGATGTATGTTTTTTGCAAAAAAATAATAAAAAATACTAAATGTAATCCGCCGCACCATTAATGCACTTCATATTCTTTTACTTCCCATAAAAAGTGTAGAGTTTTTTTATTCATCTATATTATAATTCCATGAGAAGGCATGCACGAGGCATTATATTTAGACTTCTAATATGTAGTTCTCCACTCATTGACAAACTCGCACATTTCCTTTTTGGGATAATGGATGAGCATCATGGGAGTTTTAGTTGCACCATTGCTGTTAAAGGTTATTAGGTCAATCTCAAGTTGCAGCCTAGAGTAATTATATGTAGCATTGCAAATTCATGCAAATGTTAATACAGGTCATTTCATTAAGCCACTATTTTTCATATCTAGTAGCAGGGACTTTATCTAGATTTGAGCTCCTGGCATGTGTACAAACTGCGACTAGTCACTGACTGTAAAATGCGGGTTTGCTTGCTATATGCTATAGAATGTAAGCTCGATTGAGCAGGGTCCTCTTCAACCTATTGTTCCCGTAAGTTTTTTGTAATTGTCCTATTTATAGTTACATCCCCCCTCTCATAATATTGTAAAGTGCTACGGAATCTGTTGGCGCTATATAAATGGCAATAATAATAATATGCCCACTGCTACTTTACTTTGGAATGTGCATATCCAATACTTTATCAATGCCTGCCAATTTGTTTTCTTGGGCTTAGGACACCCTCTAAGCAGGACAAAATATTACCTAGTGCTAACAGTATTTGTCTGAAGTACTGGTGCATAACCGTAAAATCCCTGTCATTGGAATCTGCATCAGGCTCCACAGAAACAATATAGTGTCAGGAATGCAGACATATATTCCTGACACTATAGTGCTGGGGTCAGTGGTGAATCCTGGTTTTGTGCTGCCGTAGCCTCCTTACCTTTAGGAATGCTGGGGGGGTTTCTCCATCTCCCTGGATGTCTAGTCGGGCTGCTGGGCGTTCGGTCAGTTGGGCGGCGCTGGCAAAGAAGCACTTTCCCCTGAGCTCTCTGCTCAGCTCCCTAGCGCGCCGCAGAGTGATGCCGGGAGCCGGAATGTGACGTCTGCCTGGCTTGTCAGTTAACCGCAAGGCTAACAAGACATTTGCCCTGGGCATTTGGGGGCGGCTTTTTTTGCCGCCCCCAGGAAAATGCCGCCCAAGGCAAATGCCTTGTTTGCCTCGCGGCTAATACGTCCCTGGCTGGGGTGGCAGTTTAGGTCCCTAGCCCTCTTCTCTGTGGAGTGAAAAGGTATTTTGTCCCGCACCGTTCTCGCTGCAGCAGGCCCTACCTCCATTGCTGAGATCATCAAACTTGATGATCTCAGCCAGTCGAATGCTTTTAAGGCTCCTGCGCATGTGCAGCAAAACTCTGTGCTGTGCCAATCAGCATCTCCTCATAAAGATGTATTGATTTATGGGGAACGTTCAGGGTCTTCATGCAGAGTGTGGTGATTCTGTACATCCATGCTGCACACGGTACAGCACTGAACTAGGAGTCACCTTTATTGTCCATCTGAGTGACTGCCACTAGGGGCGTTACTAGGCTGCAATGTAAACACTACCTGTTCTCTGCATGGACTGGCTATACATACCAGAACCATTACATTAAGTTATAGTTATTCTCATGACTATAGTGTCCCTTTACGGGGAAATGTATGTCCCTCCATCCTTTTTCGTGTATTGTAAGGGAATGAAAGATCTACATCTCTTGATCTATGTCTCTCACGACACAAACCTCTGTAGTGTTTAAAGGCTATTATAGCTGGGAAGAAAGGGGGCCTTTTCCTGAAGAGGGGAGATTGTTGACTCTAGCTGGGGAAGCAGGACAAAGAACCTTAAAAAGATGGAGAGGAATATTAAAAAATATATTGAGGTAATATAAAAACTGCTTATTATATGACTTGTTTATAGCACTGATTGGGCAATTTGCAATGTGTGCACACAGCATTAAACCTTTCCTTTATTTATGTTTTGACGTTTAACTGTGTAACTGTATAATTTAATTTGACGTGTTAATCACTGGATATTCTAGAAGCAATATAGAAGCGTTTTTATATAGTATTGTGTTTTACTATATTCTCATTAAAACCAGCACACTATTTTTATACTTTCTTTTTATTGCGCTGTTTTAAGGAGAGACTGGCCTTAGTGGTTGCAGCTGTCTTATATAATGTTCGCATAGTTTCTATTTCAAGAGCTATAATTTCGCATTTTGTCACGTAGACCGTTTTCTATAGATAATTATGTGTGTGTACACTTTGTATAATTAGTAATTTTGAAGTACAATTTATAGTACTTTTAGTTGAGTGTATAAAAGAAAGAATTGTGGTGACAGGGAAATGTCAGGGAGACATTACAGCAGCCATGCTCCCAGCAGAACTTGGTAATGTTACGAAACGCAAGTGGACAACTGCTGTGTCCTCTACATTTAAATGTCAGTGAATGGAAAAATATGTTATCTGATGGAATTATTCTGTCCATAACTATGTGAGTATTAATAGCATGGAAGGGAATTAACTCTGTAAAAGTCGCCTTTGGGAGAAAGTCACTTACTGTTATCCATTAAGAGCCCTTACAACCAGTTAAAACATGTGTCAACCACTTCCTATTCGTACATAGAAAAAACAAGAAAGAAACAAAACCTAGTCAATTAGTCAATAGTGAGATAAAATGATATAAAACCATGTTTCAAAACCTCCATTCACATCTCTACAAAGTCCATGCTAACCTCGTCTGCTTGCGTAATACTCAAAGGGTTGTTCAATAAAGTGTGAATGTACAGGAATTCAAATTATAGGCCAACATTGCTGCACTGCATCTCTGCTATATTAGTGAATGTTTAGTGTAAGTCAGATATGTTCTATCTGCTATAGCAGTCAAACAAGCAGACCAAAATCCCTAAATACAATATTATAATGAGTCTTTTTTTGCTTTTTTTTATAGTCTGTTATAGAAAACAATAAACTGAGGAGAAAGATAGATTGTATGTAAAGCTCTTCTTTAAGAATCATGACTAATTCAGTGTTTTGAAGTGGTTGTGGTGTACGGACCCTGTATGTGTAGAGGTTTAATATGCTTATGTGTATTCTGTATTTGCGGTGCTGCTGAACAAAAAGACCTCTGATAATTGAAGGTCTTAAAGGGACCCTAAAGGCACCCAGACCACTTTCTCGCATTGAAGTGTTCTGGGTGCAGTGTCCCTGTCCCCTTAACCCAGCAATTGTAATTATTGCATTTTGTGATAATTTGCAATAATTACCTTGCAGGGTAATCTTCATAACAACCTTAATAAAACGAGGCTCCTAACATCTAATCGTAGAAATCAAACATTCTATAGGGAAAGTATGTACTCTGTACACTAAAACAATGTAAAATAGGGCAAATTAGATGTATTTAATAAGGTTTTATTGTGATGAAATGGCAAGTAAGAGGTACACAATAAAGTGCAATCAGCACACGAAAAAAGCGCGGTAACAGTTTGTACATAAGTCCTGAAAAAAAAATCTAACAATCTAGCACTAAACCAATTAGCATTCAAGGTAGCTACATGTTCAAACATAAAATGTGTAGTGTTAGGATATGTTTCCTGGCACAATAGTCTAGTGCTGAAAGCTTAAAAAATTTAGTGTTGGTCTATTTTCCCTGGTTCAAAGGATTAGTGAGGGAGATGATATGTACTATTAACTACACAGAGAAAATTTGTGCATACATCCTGAAAAGAAAATGCAAGGATCTAGGTATCCCACTGTGATGCCAATCGTTTAGGGACCTGCAAGTCCTAACAATGCCTAACTGAAAATGTTTTATTTTGAATAATAAAAAGAAAGTTACAAAAAAATAAATAAAAGGTCTACTGGAAGTACATATGTTTCGATTCTATACATGTTAGCACAATTTTTCAGCCCCCAAAAAACAGAATGCTAGTTGACTGTTGTGGTATAGTTGTAATCAAAATGATTCAACACGGGGGGCGAGGCCTGTTTTGATAGAGCTCCTCTCCTCTACTGACAAAAAAGCTGATTTTAGCCTTAATAAGCTAGATTTGGCTGACATCCTGCAACTTACATGCTCCTTGCCCAAGCTGACAATCCCTGCAGGGGTCAAAAACTCAACAAAAGCTCATCTGTTACACAACCTGGATCATGCAGCCTAGAGCGCACCGGGTGGGTGAGGCCTGCAGTTGCAGAACGGCATTCAGCACTATACCGGTGCCCTGTAATCCCCCCCCCTCGATCCCGGTCCACCTCTGGGAGGCTGTCTTGCTAAAAAAGGAACAATGAGCAAAACCACGTTGGCTGAAGCTACATTTTCCGACACCTCTAAGATGGTGTACGCCGCGTGGTTCCCGACAACACAAGGGACAAGCAAGATTTCATGTGCAGACTGGACAGAACATTCACTAAATTCTGGCGCAAACTGGAGCTGAGGATGCAGCAACCTTTACCCAAACAACAGAGTGCTACTCACCACAAGAGCAGAATCCTACCTTGAAACGGCAGACCCTAGTTCCAACAGCGCAAAAAGCCCCAACATGGCGGCGAACCGGGAAACACACAACACTCCAGCAGAGAGCTGCACACAAGCGGGCACCAACACAGCCCAGCACTGAGACTCACCTGATCGTGACATATAGTGCAGACATCCAGCACACACCGAAGCTCGGAAGCCTGTCTCTCCACTCACCGGAGCGAGACTCTGCTAAACAACCAGTTGGCATAGGCTAACTGCAGAGATCCAGCCTGCACACGGAAGAGCATGTGGTCCTTCATAACACCCCTTTACCATTGAGTTTTGAATGGGATACTGGCTACACTATTCGTTACATGTGCATTCATCTACTATTACTTTATGTCATTCTCTCTGGTTTCTCCTCTGCTTGTACAATAATCACCCCTCTACACCTTACTCTGTGCAAAAAGATTGGTGCCTCCCTTTATGTTGTTCTTTTCTGTTAAGCCTGTATATTTCTTTATGAAAAAAAGAAAAAGAAAGCAAAATCACTTATACTGATATGTTATTCTTTTTACTCATGCAACCTGTCATATGTCATTGCTTCAACATGTATCTGACAATCTGCTCCAAAAATAAAGAATGTAAAAAGCATTAAAACATTTTTTTTTAAATTGACAACCCCCATTGAAAATCAGGTTTATTGTCAAAATGTACAGACTTTCAGTTGTTTGTAATAAACAAATAAAACAAAAGCAATTGAAATAGCTCAACACAACAAATGCTTCAATTGGTTTCATGACTTCTCCAGGCTCAAAATGATTCAACCTCCTGAATAGAATCCCTCACAACAGCACACATATGTAAAAGAGGCGTTGTCTCAAGCACACCCGATGCAACTAATCAAGGGCTTCTTTAGTTGCACCAGTTGTGCTTGAGCTGGAACACATGTAATACCTGAACTGGCTAAGGGTTTGTCAAGTGTCACATTTGACTGCATGTTAGAAATAAGGCTAAGTCAAAAGAATGGTTCACAAAGTTAAGTGAAGAGATCAACGCGCTTCACAAACAAGGAACAGGATACAAAAAGATAGTGAAGGCACTGAGAGACACCGTTGGAAGCACAGTTCGCAACTTAAAAGTTGAAGGAACAGAGGTTACACTCAGCAATGTATTTACTGCAAGGCTAACAAGGCACTTGCTTTGGGCGGCACTTTCAAAGGGGCAGCAAAGAACGCCCCTCCCCCCAAATGCCCAGGAATATGCCTTGTTAGCCTCGTTTTTAATGGGGGGCACAAGAGCTGGCCGGCTAGCCATCTTTGGGCCCCTGGGAGGGCAGCCAGTTGTGAAACATGCAGTGATGCTAGAAGCTGGAATATGACATCACTCCAGCTCCCGACATCACTATGCGGTGTGTGAGGGAGCTGAGCAAGAAGATCATCTCTGCCTACTATGTGCACCCACCCACTTGCTTGCCCAGCAGCTCCACTGGACCCCATGTAATTATCCACCCAACTTTCTCTAAAGTAGGGAGGCTGGGTGGATTTAAATAAAACAAAACAAAAAAAACAATAATCTGTAAATGATGGGGGAGAGTGTGTGTGTCTGTCAGTGAGTTTGTTTCTGTCTGTCAGTGAATGTGTGTGTGTATATCTGTAATTGTGTGTGAGTGTGTGTCAGTGAATGAAGGTGTGGGTGTGCGTGTCTGAGTGATTGTGCGCATCTGTCAGTGAGTGTATGTCAGTGTGTGTCTGAGTGATTGTGTCAAATCAGTGAGTGTGTGTGTATGTCAGTGTATCTGAGAGTGTGTCCTTGTCCATGAGTGGGTGTGTCAGTGTGTGTCTGTCAGTCAAAATGTGTGTTAGTCTTTAACAAGAAGAGGTGTGACCTCGGCAGGAATGGGTGGGACAAATTTAAATTAGGGGGTGCTGAGTTCTGTCATGCTTAGGGCAGCACAAATCGAAAATACACCACTGGTTACACAACCTGGACAGGGCAGAAAAAGAAAGCTGTCAATGGCTGCAACCAGATTTCTGAGAAGGCAGGTTGTGAAAAACCCTTGAGGGACTGCAAACAACCTGCATCAAGACTTCGTGGCAACAGGCACTGAGGTTTCAGTGAGCAGAGTAAGGCACGTACTAAACAGAGAAGGTTTTCATGCCAGAACTCCAAGATGTACACCGCTACTGATCCAAAAGCACAAGAAAAGTAATCTCCAATATGCTCAAAATAATATAAATAAGTAACAGAAGATTTGGAATTCTGTTCTGTGGAGCGATGAAACAAAACTGGGAACTTTCGTCCCAATGGATGAAGAATTAAGCATACGCTGAAAAGAACACTCTGCCTACAGTTAAGCATGGTGGTTGCTCAGTGATGCTCTGGGGACTGCTTTTCATCCTGCTGGCACTGGTAACCTGCAGCGTGTGGAATGCAAGATGGATTAATTGAAATATCAGGAAATCCTAGGAGAAAATGTCATGCCGTCTATGAGGAAGCTGAAACTTGGGCATCATTGACCCTTTCAACAAAAAAATGATCCCAAGCAAATTCCACCAAGGCTTAGTTGCAGAAGAGGTCCTGGAAAATTCTACAGTGGCCATCACAGTAAACTGACTTGAACCCCATAGAAAATCTCTGGTGGGATTTTAAAAAGGCAGTTGCAGCACATAAACCCAAGAATATTAGTGAACTAGAGGCCATAACCCATGACCAATGGACTAAGATTTCTCAGGAACGCTGCCAGAAGCTGGTGTTTGGCTATACATCTAGTTTGCAACAGGTCATAACAGCAAAAGGGTACTCTACTAAGTAATAAAGATGCTTGCCATGAAGGAGTTGGATAGTTTTGAGACTGGAGACGTGATTCTAAGATACAATTTAAGTTGAATTTGGGGAAGACACTTGAAGCATTCATCGTGTTGATCTATTTCAATGGCTTTTGTTGATTTATTCATTGCAAATAGCTAAAAGTCTGTAAATTTTCACAATAAACCTGATTTTCAATGGGGGTTGAATAATTTTAAACACAACTGTAAATTTATCTCTAAGGTCATGAGGAAAAAAAAAACAGTAACAAAATAAGCAAATAAATGGATAGCCTGTGCGATATCTCCGTCCCATCTCCCTCCTGGGCAAGGGGTGTCAGACCTTGGGAGGGTTGGGTATAAAACCCTGCAAAAAACAACCAAACTAAAAATAGACCTGCTTTCAAAACATAAAAAATAAAATTAAAAAGAGAGGGAAAAAAACATCTATGCAGGACCACACATCGGAACATGCATTAAAGAAGGCCAGACAGTCCCCCAGGTACATAGTGGGTATAGTGATGATCAGGAGCATGATCCTCCAGCGGCATACACTTCAGCATATTCATATGGACCTCCAAATTCATCGGGAGCGAATTATGCAGGTAAGCATTAACAGGTCTCAGGTTCCCCTCCAAAGTCCCAGACAGCACAACCTCAGACATTCTCCACAAGTTGATGTAATACACTTTGGGGAACCACCAGAGCCCTCGTCATTTACCACTCTGTGCTGGCCACACAGCTAGTTCAGACAGGCCCCAGACAGCAGTTGGTCTTATGAAAGATGTTGGCTACATAGTAATAGCAGGACTTCAAGTCCTGTGCTACTAACCAGGTCTACTTATGTTCACTTCCAAGCCATATAGTAGACATGGTACAGTTTGGAAAGAAATATTGCAAGATTTGAAGGACCAGTAAGATCTTATTTTGCAACATATATTTCCTTGCCACCACAGGAAAAATGAAAGAACGTTTCCTTTGTTCCTTCAGGAAGTGACAACTGTCACTCCAAGCCTGCCCCCAGGGCCCGCCTACAAATCCCGCCCGCAGGAATACACACAGACACACACATAGAAAGATACACACATACTAACAGACACAAATACTGAAACAGACACACACATACAGGCATACTGACACAAAAATATACAGACACACATACATACATAAGGAGATACAGACACACACACACACACACAAACATACATACTGACATACAGACATATACATACTGACATACACACATACTGACACACACACACACACATATACATACATACTGACACACAGACATACATACACATAAATACATAATGACATACTGGCATACACACAGACATACTGACACACACACACATACTGGCATACATACACACATACACATATACATACTGACATACAGACACATACATACACAGTCACAGTCAGGACAGATGTGCCTATGGCTACAGAAAAAATACAGATAATTCAGCAGTGCGATTGCAGGGGCATTGCACTAAATCCACTTCACTAAAGGGACAGCTTAGGCAGCTTAAGGCACTATTATAACTTTATCTAAATTAAGGCCCCCAGACACTCCCTTCAGGGGTTAAACCAGTCTTAAACATGTTAACCCTGAAGTGGCTTCCAGCGCCGATCCCAACTCACCCCAAGGTGGCACCTGGCTTCTGAAATGTTCAGTTTCAGTAAGTGCGGAGTGCCGCTGGACAGGAACACGGCTGATTGAGTGAGAACGGTCAACTGAGGCTCTCAGCCAATTAGTGACTCCACATTCATAAAACTGGCTTGGAAAGAAATTTACCTTTTCCAAGCCAGTTTTGCGAATGGGGAGTCAATGATTGGCTCACAGTGGTAAACTGACATTCTTAGTCAATCAGCGTCGGCCCTGCTCAGCGGCACTCTACGTTTCCTAAAACTGAAATTTCAGAAGTCAGATGCCGCCTTGGGGTGAGTTGAGATCGGCATTGGAGGCAACTTCGGGATTAAACCATTCGAGAATTCCACCAATATAAATGAGTAGTAATATACTGAAAGCTTACAATACACTGCTTCTGCTACTAACTATTATTAAGTTTATAAACGTTTATTACATACTTTTCAAAGTTTTTATTTCTTTATTTATATACGTGGTTCGTTTATTTGTATTATTTTAATATATTTGTAAAAGTGATTGCTTGATGGTTTAAAAAGTAATTGTCAAGTAATGAGTGTCCTTTTAATTTGCCCATGTGCTTTTGTCACTAATGTATGCAGGCAGCAGGGGTCCTCCTTAACTGACTCTGTTGGATGCAGGAAGGTATGAAGCCCATGGAGCAACGCAGTGGGGGAGAGGGCCTTGACAGGGCCAGAGAGTGGGCAGGTGAAGTTAAGGTCAGGGTGTGTGGAAAATTAATATTGGGTTTGGGCGGAGGAGAGTAGGGGTTTAAATAATGGCCATTTTAGTGAAGTGGCCATCTTAATCAAAACCTCACTTACTTGTTACTTGTGGCAGGTCTGTGTGGTTTGTTTTTTCTCTTTCAGGTGAAGGGGATGGCATGGCTACAGGAACAATTGGGGGTCATGAGCATGTCTGCTCACCCACCTGCGGTGTTAGAGAAGAGGCCGAGGAGAAGGGCACGACTGTCCCAACGACTCAGCCCAGGAGCAGCACCAGCAGTGAGGAGGTGCCTGAGTCCGTAGTCGCGTGGAGAGGAAGTTGCGGCCCAGGCCGATGGACAGGCTGCAGGGGTGAGAGCGCGCTGGTCGGGCGCTGGTCGGGCGCCGGTCAGGCACGGAGGCCTACCGCAATGAGGGCGCCCCGCCTCATGTCTGCAGGCGGAAGGCCACATTGAGAGGCTGGATCCGGACCGGCAGAGGAGGCGGCCAGGCAGCACGGCAGTGATGAATCCGACAGGCAGCGCCAGGTCAAGGAATGTTTCACCTACAGTCTCGAGGAGGGACCAGGCCGACAGGAGTAGGCGGCACTGGCGGTGAGTCACGAATTGCACCACACACTGGGACTTTACTGGGTTGCTTAAAATCGTTCATAGAGTCATGGGCAGGAGAGGAGGGGTAATTTCTACGGTTCGGGAAGGGTATGGTCACCAGAGGGCGGGAGAGATAAGGAGCAGGGGGCTGTGGTGACAGTGGCGCGCAGGTTGAGTGTGGGCGAAGGGGTGACGGTAGCCGAGAAGGCGGACGGGTTGGGACAGCAGGCAGCAAGGTGTGGTGAGATAGCGGATGTGGCGCGGCAAAACGTGCTTGTGTCTTTCGCGGGGCCATTGGGGTGTCACTTGAAAGCTGAGGTAAAAGATAAAATTGGGAGAGGGGAATTCATCAAAATTCCTCGACTTAAAGGAGGAGGATAAGAAAGATGCCAAAAAAGAGGAGGAGGAGAAAAAGCGGCGATACCGAAGACTTTTGGGAACTGGCTCAGGGCCTTTTGTATTTTGGCGAGCATAGTCGGGAAAAAGTCCCCAGAATGATGCTCACAGCTCTTTTCTTATTTAGACTGGATAGGGGACGCCTACAGGACTTATGGGGACTTGGCATGGTGGCGGTACAACAAACAGTTTCGCCAGCGGTTGGCTGCGTATCCTAGCATGAGGTGGGACCAGATGGACCTATCTTTATGGATGAAACTAATGATGGCGCAGAAAAACGCGCCCTTTCAGGGGACGGCCGGTGTGGCCACAGGAGGCACCGTGTCGGCCGGACAGAAAAAGGGGTTCTGCTGGCTCTTCAATGAGGGGCAATGCAAGTGGGGGGCTTCGTGTAGATTTAAACATGAATGTTCCGGATGCGGGGGCAATCATGGAGTCAAAAGGTGCTTTAAGAAAGGAAAATCTAACCTTGGGGGTACAGCAGGGTCAACAGCTATGGCGGTTGCAACTGGGAGCGTCGCCGGTGAGGGTCGGCGCGATGCTGCCTTGGCTAAGGCAGTACGTTAACCAGGAAGACACAAGATTCTTATGGCAAGGGTTTACGGAGGGTTTTGTTATCCCATTCAGGGTCAAGGGTCCGAGAACCATGTGCGCAAACCTTAATGAAGGAGAAATTAATGAAAGAAGTCCGTTTCTGTCCCCGCCTTTAGACGATTTGTGGGTGTCTCCGCTGAGGGTGGTCCCAAAAAAGGAGGTGGGCAAACTTTGCTTGATACATCACTTATCGCATCCGCAAGGGACTTCGGTAAATGATGATATCGACGCAGCCCTGTGTTCCGTATCCTATGCATTATTCGACCATGCAATCAAGTTGGTTCGGAGAGCTGGACACGGGCATTGATCGCGAAGGTGGATGTGGAAGCAGCATTTCGGCTGCTCCTCATACATCCGGAATGTCACCACCTACTGGGGTGTTTCTTCGAAGGGGGTTTCTTCGTGGCCTTGTGTCTACCAATGGGCTGTTCCATCTCGTGTTCCTATTTTGAAAAGTTTAGCACTTTTTTGGAATGGGTGGTGCAGCGGGAGTCGGCCAGGGGCAATCGTGCATTACCTCAACGATTTTTTGAGCGGTGTGGCCAGATATTGAAGGTATTTCAACGGGTGGCGCACTCTTTTGGGGTTCCCCTGGAAGAGGGTAAAACGGTTGGCCCCACCTCATGCCTCAGTTTCCTCGGTTTGGAGATTCACTCGGTGGAAGGCGAATGCAGATTACCCGCGGATAAACTACATAAGCTTTGTCAGCTAGTGGACACAGTGAGGTGTGCAAGAAAGGTGAACTTACGGGGGCTAGAGTCCCTATTGGGGAGTCTAAATTTTGCATGTCGAGTGATCCCTATGGGCAGGGTCTTTTGTAGGCAGCTGGCTCAGGCGACGAGTGGGGTACGGCTGCCAAATCATTATGTTAATGTTTCGGCAGATATGAGAGCGGATCTGGAGGTATGGGAAAAGTTTCTAAGGGAATTTAACGGTAAAGTGTTTTTTCGGGAGCCAGGGGTATCCTCCAAGGCCATAGGCCTGTTCACGGACGCTTCGGGGAGCGTGGGGTTCGGGGCTTATTTGGCGGGACAATGATGCGCCGAAGAGTGGCCTGCGGAGTGGAAGGCCAGCTCACTGATAAGGAATCGAGCGTTCCTGGAATTTTTCCCGGTGGTAGTAGCGGTGGCGTTATGGGGTAAACAGCTCGCAAGCAAAAAAGTGGTCTTTTATTCAGATAATATGGCATTGGTCCAGGCTATCAACGGTTTGTCGGCATCATCGCCTGTACTGGTACGGTTATTAAGGCATTTGGTACTTCTCTGTATGTCTAGCAATCGGGCAAGGCACGTACCGGGTTTCTTGAATATAGTGGCTGACGCGCTGTCTCGTTTACAGTGGGAATGTTTTCGGGAAGCAGCTCCAGAGGCACAGGAGGAGGGAGTGGCCTGTCCAGAAGAAATGTGGCAGCTCGGGACATCATGCTTGGGGAGTTCATAAGGAGTTCCCTGGCGCCGGGCACTTGGGTGGCATACGAAAAGGTTTGGCACGAGTGGGAAGAGACAGTGGCACAAGTGGGAGGGGACCTTTCAGCAGGGCATAGGCTAGACATATTGTTATGTGTACTTGTCGACTATTCGCTAGAAAGGCTTCTCCAGCTATGGTGGACAGGCACATGTCGGCGTTGGCTTTCTTATTCAAGTTTAACGGATGGGAGGATATAACGAAACCTGGTGAGGCAAGCCATAAGAGGTTTTCGGAAGGGTAAAAAATCAGTGGATACGAGGAGGCCGGTGTCATTTGCGGTGCTGCAAGGGCTAGAGGAGGCTCTACCGACCTTATGTTACTTGAGGTGGTGTTAGTTTCCAGGGCGGTTGTTTGGACATTCTTCGGGGCATTATTTCGAATTGGGGAGCTTATCAGCGTCAACAAAGCGGGGGTTGGTGGACTGCGGTGGGTAGACGTGGCAGTCGGTGAGCATATGGTGCTGATTGGGCCGCTCGAAAACAGACGTTTTCGGTAATGGATGCTCAGTAACATTGTTTGAATTTCCAGGGTCTAAGGTTTGCCTGGTGGCTTGCGGTGCCGATTTCTTGGAAGTTCGCCCCAAGAGGGAAGGCTGTTTCTTCATTCATGCTGATTTCAGTTCGTTAGGATATTTTGCTCGGGGTTATTTAAATTGGGCCTGGACCCCATGCAGTTCGGGACACATTCTTTTAGAATTGGGGCAGCAACCGAGGTGGCACGTCTAGGTCTGGGAGATGAGCGGATCAAGCAGATAGGGAGGTGGGAATCCATTCGGTTCCGCTTGTACATTAGACCTGACAGGTTGGTGTAACGGGGGGCTGGGGCGTTTACTGTTAGGGTTGCCCTGCTGTTCACTGTTTTATCTATTTTAGGTCGGTTGGTATGGCTGATTGGACATTCATACGTGTATTGGGCACAGAAGAGGCTGCAGTGAGAAAAAACAGAAGGCAACTGAGCTTTCCTATGGAGACGGTGGTTCTATTTTGGTTGGGATTCAGGGGTTTCAGTAGGATCAGTAAGAAATTGTTTCAAAGGATTAAAAGGTGGTCATTCCCAAACGTAATATTGGTACACAGTGGGGAGAACGACCTAGACTTTTAACCCCTCAGCGAGAACTGTTGAGGAGGATGAAAATGGATTTGGGTCGGCTGTGGGAACTGGTTCCTGGCGTGGTAGTAGTTTGGTCGGAAATGGTGCCTCGTTTTACTTGGAGACACGCCAGAGATCTGGCTGCTGTGGCGTGATGTAGGGGCAAGGTCAATAAGACCATTGCGTTTTTTGTTAGAAGGATAGGTGGCGTGGTAGTGTGGCACCGGGAGTTGGAGGGCATGCTGCCCAGGTATTTTAGGAAGGATGGGGTGCATTTGTCAGACGTGGGTTCTGATTTGCTTAATTTGGGTTTCCAGGACGGTATTACCCAGGGCCTGTTTCTGTGTGATGGGGGTCGCACATGAGCTTAAGGGGGTCAAGTCATGTGCTGTGGCGGAATAGGGCTTGGGTTAAAGAGGATTTAGGTGGAATAGGAAGTGGGCAGGTCTAGGCTGGAGTATGCTGGAGTGGAAAAGTGGTTGGTAGGTTCAAGCTCGTTGGTGGCTATGAACCTGGGGGTGTAGGGGTGTCTGGGTACACCCCTACAGTTAAACATATGGTTATGGGGCCTCTTTGGTAGGCCATGTGTAAAACGTTATGCATTATTGGAATGTTAATTATTGTTATTTGGTAGGGTCATTGTCAGGGGTATTGGGCAGGAAGGTCAGACGTAATTAATACTTGTGACAATGACCCTAAATTGTTAAATTGTTAAATTATATAATGATTAATAAAGCTGTGGACTTTATACTCCAACAGAAAATTGGTGTCCAAGTGTCGGTTTAGCACATGCCGAATAACGACTGTCAACATGTCATGTTCTTTAATGGATGAATCATATTAGATGTTGAATTACAGATCTGTTTTATTTTGTTGTTTTTTTACTCCACTCTCTGGAATAAGGAAGCATTTTTCGTTTGGCAAGTTTCTGGCATAGCTCTCTGTTCTTCACACACAATTGCCAGGTTGGACTGCTTTTAATTTTTTTCTTTTGTTTTGCATCTTTATTTAACCCCATAAGAACCAATAATAGTTCATGTCTTAATCATATTCTTGTTTCTAAAAACCCCATGCCTGCATCAGTGTGCCATGCAGCATTTGCAGTTCAGTATGGCCATGAAATAGTTAAATGAGTTCATTTTGAGATAAAATCTGTAAAAGGTGATTTGCTATGACTGAATTATTCTGCCATTGGTCCTTAAGAAATTAACCCAGAACACACTGCACCTATGCCCTCTATGTTTTGCATTATCAAATAGTCCAATTAATAAATATCATATTCATAAAGTTTCCAGGAGAGGGCACTAACACATTATGACATTAAAACATGCTCTGTCATTTTTCTTGTCCTATCACGCTGTGATTAGCATGATGTTGGCATTAAAGGTGTTACTGTTTCTTTCTTGCAATCATCTGGCTAATTTTTAACTTTGCTTAGGGCAGTGCTTGACTTAAATATTCCACTTCACGGCTTCAATTTTGGAAGAGGTCAAACTATGTTACAGAGGTTAAACACAAATCTATTTCCTTATTTATTGTTTTTTTTCTATTCTTCCTGTGCCAGTCTCCGCCCACGGCTTATACCTTCTGAAAAGGCAGCATGAACAAGGCACGGCAAGTGTGCACAGAAAGCTGGAATTGCTGCCTTTACCTCCACAGAGGTCAGTCTGGCAGTGAATAAAATGTGTGTGTATAAATATTATAAATTGCAATACTGTTATTTTAAAAAGGCAGATCATATTATCAAATGCCATACTGTAAAAAGTGACATCATTCCGTGTATTACTAGTCAGAGAGGCCCTCACCCTGGATTACCTGTAGATATTGTTACTTGGGAATCCTGCACACATTGTGGCTGAATATAAATGCTTGCTGAGGTCCTGTAAAGCTACAGTAAAGTTAGGGTTACTTACTCTGGCAATTAGGGTTAGAGTTTTGTGCTACGGCACAAATAAACCAAGAGTAATCAGCAGTTTTATGAATTAATATAGGAACTCCCCTGGCAGTTAAAACGACGAGGATGGTTTCCTGATTCACTGAGTTTAAGATCTTCCATACGGAATCATTAGTTTATCATCCTACTGGGAGATCGCCATGTCCACCATGTTTGATTCCGTATCCAGTAAAGGAGGAGACTATATTTAAAAGAAGAAAAACTACCACAACAAGAGGACATAGTCTTAAATTAGAGGGACAAAGGTTTAAAAATAATATCAGGAAGTATTACTTTACTGAGAGGTAGTGGATGCATGGAATAGCCTTCCAGCTGAAGTGGTAGAGGTTAACACAGTAAAGGAGTTTAAGCATGCGTGGGATAGGCATAAGGCTATCCTAACTATAAGATAAGGCTAGGGACTAATGAAAGTATTTAGAAAATTGGGCAGACTAGATGGGCCGAATGGTTCTTATCTGCCGTCACATTCTATGTTTCTATGTTGATTTTTGCATGCGCCAATTTCATCTGCACAAGTAGGGGAGACTGTCATCACTGACAATCTCCTGGGGTGCCATTGGAAAAATATGGGACAAATTTTTTTTTTTGTATTGCTAGATATTGGACATAGATAGAGTTAAATTAACACTCCAAATGTAAAAAACAAAATATCTAATAACCCTTAACCCTAAATATAATTTTAACCCTAAATGTTATAAATCTCACAATTGTGTTTCAATCTCTAGAACTGGCACTAATTTTATGCCTAACCCTTACACTAAATGTCCTAGATCTGAGTGTCACATTTCCAGCTCTGTCAGAGTAACCATGACTTTAATTACCTTGCAGGACATTGGCGAGCAGCCTTTTTCAGCCATTGTGGTGTACAGTTTACTCAGAGATCATATTTTATTTATAAAATAGTTTACCAGGAAGGATACATTGAAATTTATCTTGTTTTCAAGTATGTCCTGGGTCCACAAACACTGCATTGTTATAATAGGGTACAATATAGCGTTACAAACAAAAACCCCACTATATATACACTGAACAAAATTTTAAACGCAACACTTTTGTTTTTGCCCCCATTTTTCATGAGCTGAACTCAAAGATCTAAGACTTTTTCTATGTACATAAAAGGCCCTTTTTCTCTCAAATATTGTTCACAAATCTGTCTAAATCTGTGTTAGTGAGCACTTCTCCTTTGCCGAGATAATCCATCCACCTCACAGGTGTGCCATATCAAGATGCTGATTAGACAGCATAATTATTGCAAAGGTGCAAAATCTACAGTTTTACTGTATTTGGGCTATCCGGGGGGTCAAAAAACCAGTCAGTATCTGGTGTGACCACCATTTGCCTCATGCAGTGCAACACATCTAATTTGCATAGAGTTGATTAGGTTGTTGATTGTGGCCTGTGGAATGTTGGTCCACTCCTCTTCAATGGCTGTGCGAAGTTGCTAGATATTGGCAGGACCTGGAACACACTGTCGTATAAGCAAATCCAGAGCATCCCAAACATGCTCAATGGGTGACATCTCAAGTGAGTATGCTGGCCATGCATCAGCTTCCAGGAATTGTGTACAGATCCTTGCAACATGGGGCCGTGCATAATCATGCTGCAACAAGAGGTGATGGTAGTGGATGAATGGCACAACAATGGGCCTCAGGATCTAGTCACAGTATCTCTATGCATTCAAAATGCCATCAATAAAATGCACCTGTGTTCGTTGTCCATTAAATACGCCTGCTCATACCATAACCCCACTGCCACCATGGGCCACTCGATTCACAACGTTGACATCAGCAAACCGCTCACCCACACGACACCATACACGCTGTCTGCCATCTGCCCTGTACAGTGAAAACCGGGATTCATCTGTGAAGAGAACACCTCTCCAAAGTGCCAGTCGCCATTGAATGTGAGCATTTGCCCACTCAAGTCTATTACAACAACTAATTGCAGTCAGGTTGAGACCCTGCATGCAAGCATGCAGATGAGCTTTCCTGAGATGGTTTCTGACAGTTTGTGCAAAAATTCTTTGGTTATGCAAACCGATTGTTGCAGCAGCTGTCCAGGTGGCTGGTCTCAGACAATCTTGGAGTGAAGATGCTGGATGTGGAGGTCCTGGGCTGGTGTGGTTACACGTGGTCTGCGGTTGTGTGGCCGGTTGGATGTACTGCCAAATTCTCTGAAACGCCTTTAAAGACGGCTCATGGTAGAGAAATGACATTCAATTCACAGGGTACCAGCTCTGGTGGACGTTCCTGCAGTCAGCATGTCAATTGCACGCTCCCTTAAAACTTGCGACATCTGTGGCATTGTGCTGTGTGATAAAACTCCACATTTTAGAGTGGCCTTTTATTGTGGTCAGCCTAAGGCACACCTTTGCAATAGTCATGCTGTCTAATCTGCATCTTGATATGCCACACCAGTGAGGTGGATGGATTATCTCGGCAAAGGAGAAGTGCTCACTAACACAGATTTAGACAGATTTGTGAACAATATTTGAGAGAAATAGGCCTTTTGTGTACATAGAAAAAGTCTTAGATCTTTGAGTTCAGCTCATGAAAAATGGGAGCAGAAACAAAAGTGTTGCATTTATAATTTTGTTCAGTGTGTATATATATATATATATATATATGCGCACACACAAATACAAATGTAATAATTTAACACAAAACAGGTAAGAACTATAGTCAGCCACGATTACAGGTGCATTCTGTATGTATTGAGGTATGTTGCTATGTATCTCTTAAAGGATTTTAGAGTGATCTCTACAGGGAGCTCTCTTCAGCAAGACACAAGCTGAATGTGCAATAGGGAGTGAAACACTCAATTTACATATCACTAGTGGGAGAGGAAGAGATTTAACAATGGTAGCTGTGAATTACAGCTGCAAATAAAATTATGCATAAAGACATCGTTAATAGATTAATAAATGACTCAGATCCATTATGTTAACCTTATAATGTTTGCAGAAACCATCAATGGCTTTATTTCTCCTAACGCCTGGTTCATAGTTATGCACCACTTTGAAGGCTACAAACATCATCATTACTTATAAAGTGCTCATGAGATATACAAGTTACTTAAACTTAACAAAGTTGAACTTACAGTAACGAGCAGTAGTCATTGCTCAGCATAAATTAATTTATAATCTGCATATACATTATATGTAGGCACACACACACACACACACACACATATATATATTATCAACAGATATATCTCACTATTTGTAAGTTGAATGAGGGGGAAACAAAGTCATACTCTTCATGCAGTCATTCTGTATTAAAAAGTAAAATATTTTTGCTGAGGTTAATGATTGATTTTACTGTGGGGGAATGTAGGGAGAGCACCACACTGTTTTTGCGTTTTTTTCCTCTCCTTTTTTTTTTTTGTATTATTGCCACTTTGTGAAATATTGTGAATAAGTAAATATGGTAATGTAATTTTGCATGAGACTGAGTTCACTGTCCCTTTAAAAATTCTCCTGCAGGTTGAATCTCTGACGTCACCTTCCACTAAGGGGCTGAGAGGAGAGACACACAGAGAGAGAGAAAGAGAGAGAGAAAGAGAGAGGGGAGGAGGGATAATAGCATCTGCTGAGCAGCTATGGAAGAGGAGAGGAACCGTGGGCACAGCAGTAAGCACCGGGAAAAGAATGTGAATACCCAGCACAGACAGGTAATCAGAAATTAATCACAATCAAGTGGCTTTGAGATTAAATACTACAATAATTATTTTATTTGGCTAATTGCATGCAAGCATGTTTTATGACCGGTGTAGACACAAGCACCAAATAGAAGCTAAGTCTCTATGTCATTGACATTTCACAGAGGTCTAACATGCAAACACCTCTGTATTTTTGAGTTGGGTAAATTACTCCTGATGGTTGTAATAGCTGCCAAAAAGAGCCATTAAATGCCACAAGCAGCATTAAATACCACACGAGCTGTGCCAAAGATAAAGCTCATTTGTCAGCACAGGGTCAAATTGTGTCTTTCAGGCGCACGCATTAATCCTTTTTCTACAAATAAAATACACTCTGGATATTGAAAGCACACCTTTACACATTGAGTGTATTGAGCAAAACATTACTACATACAAAATCCACAATTACACTTGCGCACATTTTCCTAAATGTACGTGAAGATCCATACATGATTTAGTGTTTTGTGGATACAAGAAGGAAAAAAATCATGTATGGATCCTTGTATAAATTGTGAGAAAGTATCACTGCTTTAGAATCGACACATCTGGGTTAAATAAACAATTACTAGTGTGTGTGACAAAATTAGCAGCAGACAAAAAGAAAAACCCTAATATCTGCAAAACCCTAGACAGGGGAATTTTAAATAATCTGCCGTTTGTTTAAGAATTTTAGAAGCAATACATCTAGAAGCAATGTCAATTGCTGTATACGTGGAAGCTAATGAAAACAACTTTATAATTGTACAATTTAAAAAAATTTTTACATCCGAGTATCAGTGTTGGAAAATGTCTACTTTTTTTGTGTTTTTAAAGTGAGATGTGCTGTTAAAATTTATGAATTATTTTTCAGCTATTTTCATACAAGACAAAACTGGGAGACTAATTTTGTTTTGTTAAAATAACTGAGTCTTAACGAAAAGTGTTGGGAAACTTTTGCTTATCTTGCAATCTATAACAGGCACAGATCATTTCATTTTGAACACATTATACCCCAAAACAGTGACCAAAACCCGCAATACCTTGGGTTACTCTCTTGGCTAATACACCTGCTGTACAGGTTTGGGTTAAGTGTCAAAATATTGTTGGGCCCATTGATCTATGTGATGTTGATGAAATTGATAGCTATTATTTGGCTTACTGTGCAATAAGGGAAAATGGACTGTAAAAGCACAAGAGATTTATTATTACGACCATAGTAACATTTGCATTACAGAATATGACTAAAACATACTTTGTTGATTTATTGGTTTTTTTTGTGTTTTTTTGTTTTTGTTTTTTTTATACGGCACACACACTCCAACTTAACCACTTAATTATTCATAAACACTACTTGATCTGTAGTGTACACAACTACACAAAAACAAGCAAGGGATGACTCTCCTAAAGTAATCTTAAACATGTGCTACTCTTACAGTTTAAAATACTTACCCATACTATTCTCCCTAATACAAATGCTCTTGGTGTCCTCAACCATGTACTGATTCCTGCAAAATTGTAGGAGATTTAGGAATGTGACATGACAGTGCAGTTCATACATAGCCAATATTTCTAATTATGCATAAAACAAATTAGGAGACAAAAAGGACCAGGTTTATAACTGCAAAATAGAGATTAAAATAATATTATAATGAATATTGTCTTGTACATTACAAAAATACATTTGCTTGCAGATTTGCAAATGAAAACACACTGACACACACAATGACTCTTGCTTACAGCATATGCACTTATAACAAATGCCAACAGATGCTGACAGATATTAAAACATAAACTGTTTTCTGCGCCAAGGACACACTTTCCCTTTTGCTGAATGTGCACTCAATGCAGACACCAAATCACACACTGATATCACCTTGTCATAGTTAAAGTGAAATCTAGTATACTGCCATTGGTACAGCCAAACTGTAATACAGACTTCCCTATACTAAAATTGTTTTATGTTCATCTTGCCGATTACACTTTGATGCCATACCAAACACGCACATAACATCTATGCACAGTTATTGATTCGCAGTTTACTTATCGCACATACTTCTTTTACAAATAGAACTCTCCCTAATTTCTATTTTACTGTACATTTCTCCTGTTCTGGTTTCACATTCTTCTAATCTTCAAACTTACAGTGTGCTTCTTTCATCTCTCTGTTGTACTGTTTCTAGATAGCCTTATTGTGTCTGTTGTCTGGTTTTAATTGTTATTTCAACTTTACTCTTATCCTTATTTACTCTGTCCTTTTTTTGTCTCTGCCCTTCTTTGCTATTTAGCACCTCTCTTCAGATTCCTCTTTCTCTTTTTGTCTCCTCTGCTACCCACATCTTTCGTCCCTTCCCCCTCTGCTGGTGTCACCATCGAATTCGTCTCTGATAAATGCACAGAAAGTTTATTTTTAGAGCTATTGTGATTGAGATAAAGAGAGTAACACACGCTGTAGTTATTTTCCCCATATTGTGTCAAGGATATGGTGATATCAGTGGTAGAAAGAGGATCCAGGCACTCCAAGTATCTTCAAATGAATTTATTGGGATAAGTGAGACACGGCAACGTTTGGACCTCTAAAAGGGTCTTTGCCGAGCTACATCACACCAGACACATCAATGATTTATAGGCAAAAACATTGTGAAGTGTAAAACAAAGGATATGGTGATGGCATTATATTATCTGTGCCCATACTAGAAGCATAAAATACTTGTATGTAAAATGCTATGTATATATGAAATATGTACAAGTGGAAAGGTCATGTGACTAACATCAAGTGACACCAAACTATAGTTTCCACTTGAGGTAGATAAAGAATGAGCTCACACTACTTATTCTATGCGATAGACAAACTGTGTTTGAAATACTCTGTCTTCACTTTTTCTCTTCAGATGGATCCTAATGTGTTTGGTGTGGAGCAATATGTATTTGTAGCACCGCCTTCTCCTGAACCACCTCCCAGACCTACTTATTTGACCTCTCCTCGGTTCAGCCCTGCAGGCTCAGGTCGATCGCAACCTGAGGGATCAAGTGGGTCACAAACTCCACTCCCAGGAGTACAACTGTCTGTTCGCCCTCTTTCTCCTGTTGGTGCATCTGCACCTAATCGTTCCCAGCCAGAGGGATCTCAGAGAATCCACCCAGTGGGATCACCAGTCAATCCCAGAGTAGAATGTGGCAGATCCCAGCCTGAGGGTTCCTGTCTTGGCCTTCTGTCCCCCACTCAACAGTACCGACCACTGCCTCCTCCACCACCATCTCCACATCGCTCTCCTGCTCCTAGCCCCTGTGGGCAACCGGAACGTAGGAAATCACACACTACGTTAACTTTCACAGGGTCCCAGGAGCCACGTCAAAGGTCTAATTCAACTCAACATAGATTAGAGGCAACAGAAAGGTCAATTTCCAGTGAGCTACCAATAGGTAGTGAACAAGAAAAAATTAGTGAGGATTTCAGGTATGATATTTACTTAAATAATACAGTGTAAAGAAATCTTAAATATTTTAGTAAAGGTGGGGCCTTTAATGTGCATGCTTGTATTGCAGTATATAATTATGCAGATTGATTTCATAGTAGTCCTGTGTGTCTTTAAACTCATTGAAGAACATTCAAATATTGCACACCCAGAAATGGACATAGCTATACTGTTTTGAATAGTATCACACAAGGTATTTGTATAAAATGAATCAAGAATGTGTAGTGCATAGTTTCCACTTGTCCTAGTTGGGACAGTCCATTCCTTACAGCAACAACTGCACCTACACATTACTTGTTTCTCAGTGACACAGACAGGAATGGATCAGGTTCACATTGTATGTGTGTTACCATGTGATACGGATAGAGTCGAAGAGTGAAGTCCCTACCAGTATTACAACTAAGTGTAATGCCTGAATAATAGCTACCCCCAAAGAGACTGAGTACACCTCCCTACCTACCCAAGTGTACCACAAACAAAACACACCCTGAATTATGGGTGATCTGTGTTCACTATAATATTTCTTTATTGCCAATTAATGGAGATGGGATTGGCTTTTAGCTTCTGCAGTTTAGCAGAAGCCAGAAGCATGTCAACCGACAGTATAGAAGCCTCGGAGCCCAGTGGGAACCAAGGTAAGGGGGCCAACCCTACAGTGTAGTGGTTATGATGCTTGGAGCAACCGTGAACATTTACCATGTATTTAAAAAAAATAATTATACAGTTTGTAAAACATCAATACCTTTAACGCATTCAACGTGGATATTGATGAACAAAGTGTAATATAAAGAAATAGGGTATCACCTGGAGACCTCGCCAATGAATATGACCAGAATATGCTCTTATTTTAATTGTGTTTTTTCATGCAGTCTACTTCATCAAATTATAAAGAACACTTTATTTTTGTAAAACTTGGCTCAGTAAAGTAATACATTTAAGTTCAAAATAGCAAAAGTGGAAAAGAAATCTCAAATTAAAGGATCACTATAGTGTCAGGAAAAGAAACCCGTTTTCCTGACACTATGTCATCCTTGGGGGACCCTCACCCTCAGGGTCCCCCTACCATGGCGCTGAAGGGGTTAAAACCCCTTCAGCAGCTTACCTTAATCCTGCGCCGGTCTCCCTCGGCGCTGGTGACCTCTCCTCCCTCGCCGATGTCAGCTCCTGAGTGGAGTGGAATGTGCATGCACGGCAAGAGCCGTGCGCGCATTCTAACAGTCCATTGGAAAGCATTTCTCAATGCTTTCCTATGGACGTTCTGCACACTGGATGTGAATTTCGTATCCAGCGTCGCAGAAGCGCCTCTAGCGACTGTCAGGAAGACAGCCACTAGAGGTTGGATTAACCCTGCTATGTACATGTGAAGGGTTAAAACCTGAGGGACCTGGCAACCAGACCACTTTATTGAGCTGAAGAGGTCTGGGTGACTATAGTGTCCCTTTAAGCTATGCTTTTAGTTCAGCTATTGTGGCTTCAAATTTGAAATGCTCACTTTGGTAAATAACCCTGTATGTTTTGCAAGGATAACTCTTTTTCTCTATATGTATTTTTCATTATTTACTCCATATATTTTCTTTTGCATTTTTCTCCAACTGCCTTTGCCTTCTCTTTGTTTCTCATTAAACTGCCATTAAAGGATCACTCTAGGTCAGAGCTGGACAAATGGCAAAGCATCATGGAAGTTGCAGTTCTACAACATCTGGGGATCTACCATTTGACCAACTCTAGGTGTTACACAATCTGACAATCCAATGCTCTTTTAGCAGCATTAGCTGCATTCACAGTCATCGTGCTGTGTGTGATTTGTGAATTTGTGGCAAAATGTCAACAGTGATACTTCAAAACCACATTCTTTTTACATTGTCAGTGATAAGCAACAACTTCTACGTACCAAAACCATCACGTAAAGATAGAGTGGATTTGATGCTTAGTGAGTCCCTTTAATGAAAGCATAAATGCAGCGTGAATACGAATACAAAAAGATAAGTCATGCGCTCACTCCCATCACAACTGGGCCGGCAGTAATGACTACAGTACACATCAGCCCCAATATATAGTAAAAACCAAAGAAAAGAAAACGTTACCTGCGCTCTCTCCTTAATCCCCATGTATATTCAGACAAACGGAGGTCACTCAGTTGCTCCAATGGAGGGAATGCCCGCCTGCCAACGTCAAGGCAGACCCCCCTAAAGCGGGTCCTACACTGACCCCTCAGCCCGCCTCCCTGAGCCTCCGGCAAAGATATCTCTAATGAGACAGAGAGGGGTATTTTTTATATACACCCCTATATACTTATTACCCCTTAATAGGTGAGCACAAGACTTATCTTTTTGTATTTGTATTTACTTTGTATCACACAGCCTTGTTACAATGCTGCCGCCCATCCCATGTGTTCCCTATTAAGGGTTAATAAGTATATAGGGGTGTATATAAAAAATACCCCTCTCTGTCTCATTAGAGATATCTTTGCCGGAGGCTCAGGGAGGCGGGCTGAGGGGTCAGTGTAGGACCCGCTTTAGGGGGGTCTGCCTTGATAAATGCAGCGTACTTTACTTTATTCCAATACTTTAAAACAGAGCAGTACATTTAAAAACCTGCATTACAGAACAATCTGAGCCTCATCTATGCTTTTAATAGTGTGTGAATCAAAAAACGGTCAGATTGTATCGATTATAAATCCAAGCTTCTCAAATGTTCCTGAATGTTGTTTTATACTGAACGTACGGACCCCAAGGTCTATAGTTGTTCTGGGAAATAAATAATGGGATATAATTATACGCATTTATTCATAATAAGAGCTTTGGATAAATCTAAATGTGCTCATCTCTATTATTGAACTCTTTGTTTCATACTTAGGAATAATATACAGCAATTATAGAGGGTTCAGTGTGTGCGCACAAAAGCTCATAAATGTGGACCTTTTCAAAATTCAACATAGTTTTACCGAAGCTATCTCCTCATCTGCTTAACGTGTGCATCTCTAAAACAATGGGTTGTCTACTCCAAGACACATCCAGGTTTTACATCACTGCCAACTCTTCATCAACTTGAAAGGTACCGAACCCAAATCCTGTTGGCCTCTCCAACTGTGCCAGTCCTGGAACGCAAGAGCACAAGCCAGTGAGACTGAAAATACTGCCTAAATATATATATATATATATATATATATTAATATTCTACAGAATAAATCTGTACCATTCCAAGCCTGATGCTACTATTGGGGTGATCGCCTTTTTTAAATTTCAGTTTCTGTTCTTGTTCTATAATGTTTTCTTACATTACAATTTCAGATGCCACCCACATCATCTATGACTTGTTGCCAAGGGTTTTAGACTAACAGGTTGCTAGATTACTAATAGCTGACTTTGCTTTACTTGTTTATTTCTGTCTTATTCATTCTGGATTGTTTTAACTCTTCTCATTTTTTTTTCTTGATTTTCGTTTGTTCAGTTGTGTTTTCTCTTAGTGATTTGAACATTTAATTTGTTCTGTGTACTATGTGAAATTAGTTTTTTTTTTTTAAATCTTTGTTCATATTGTGCTTTATTATTCCTAGCTATTATGGCAATACAAGATGCACTGATAAAGTCTAGTTTTCCCTCTTGACCTCCAGTTTACAATTATCACCACTTTGTTATAATGAGCCAGAAACTCATTTCCTTCATACATTTGTGAGTGAGAAGCGTGGCCATTAGTAAAGCTGAAATTCCAAAAATATCTATTATTACTGCAGTTAATACATTCTACTAAATTGTGCACAGTCTACGTATATTATAAGACAATGGATGTTGATGTTTTCAACAACTACCCAAATGAAATATATGGCATTACATTGGAAACCTATCATTCCAATAGAACATAATACTTGAAACACCTTCATTAGCCTCTGCAGTGTCAAGGCAGTCTCACTGAGGAAAGCAGCTCTGCTACCGTAATTTTTTTTTGCGTGGAGGAACTGTACGATGCTGCTGTTCCGAGCAACGGGGATCCACTAAACACAGCACTGGAGCCCAATTTTGCATATAGGCGGAATGTTAAATTGTTACTCCAACTATCACGACCATTTTAGTGATTTTAATTATTTTTAGTTGTGTGCTGGGGGCTAGTTGTACCATCAGCACACGTGACTTAGGCAACCCAGGACTCTTTTCCGGACTGCCTAATTTAAATTCTGTGCATATTTTGTGGCTATCGTCAGCATGCATGGCTTGCTGGCAATAGAGGTGCTAATCTTCCCCCTTGATGGCAGAGGGCCTACAAGGGGAAGATAGTTTTCCCCTCCCACCCTGCCTCCCCTCTTTCTCCCCTGTCCCTCGCTGGCTCAGTGTGTACCCTTGTGCTCTGAGACTGTGAAATTGTCCAATCACAGGCTTCTCTATGCTTCCCATGTGACGTCAGATGGAGGTGTGGAAGTCAGGTTATTCTCCAAATGGGTGGCGGAGACATACTTCTTGGTGCATAGTACACCTATAATACCCCGCTCTCAAAACATTTGGAGTAACTCTTTAAGAACTTATTTGTTAAGAGATTTGCACCCTCATTTTAATATATTTACTAATAAGACAGGAATTTCTACTCCATGGATAATAGTCTAACTGTAAATTACTCCATAAAATTCTAAACACTGGGTCTCGCTCTCTGGGTTCTTTTTATTTTACCTTCTACAAAAAATATGATGTTGCCTTGTATATCTTCTGAAACTATTGTACATCATGCTCTTACCTCAATAAGATAAAGACTGACAACAACAAAAAAAGATCTCCCCAGGAGTTCCTAACTTATGTTGGAAACACCGTACACATCAAGTACTTACCTTACTTTTTGCATTCATTTTATTTATATCTCTTTCCACAAACCAGTTCTCAAGGCTCTTGATTAAGTGTACAGCATAAACATAACCGGCCTTCTGTTCCAACTGTTATTTTGATGCAACATTCTACTCTTCTGATTTCCACTGCTAAAACAGAAAATGTAATGGGTTACTCCTACCTGGTGCCAATCCTCATTAATGGGGCAAACCGTTTTGCAATGGTTTACCCTCCTACCCGAGTCCCCACCAAATGCCATGTTTCCTTTAGAGCAGGTTTAAAAAAAAAACCAGCTTGCAGAACCGCAAAAGCTTGATGCT